AAAAAAAAAGCTTTAGATTCTAAAGCTGGGGAGGGGTCTGGAGAGATGGCTTGGCCTTAAGAGCACTTCTTACTCTTGCACTCACGTGGTGGCTCACAGCCATCTCTAACTCCAGTTCCTTCCCACCCCTTCGAGCAGCACACAAGCAGTATGCAGGCATAACACTCACATACATAAAATACAATTTAAAAATCTAAAAGTGGGCCAGGCAGTGGTGGCGCACGCCTTTAATCCCAGCACTCGGGAGGCAGAGGCAGGCAGGTCTCTGTGAGTTCCAGGACAACCAGGACCACACAGAGAAACCTTGTCTCAAAAACAAAAACAAACATTAAAAGCAATTTTTTAAAATAAATTTAAAAACCGTTTAGAGGGAGGATGCTGAAGAGACAGCTCAGTGGTTAAGAGCCCTTGCCGTTCTTTCAGAAAGGCCTGGAATTCCACTTCCAGCACCATGACACTTGAAACTCCAAGTTCAGGAGATCTGACATCCTCTTCTGGCCTCCTCAGGAACCACACACATGTACATGCACATGCAGACATATATATGAAATTGAAAAATTAAATATGAATTTTTACTGCATTCTCCCATCCCTAGTGGTACTCATGTGTATGCCTTCCTGTAGAGGGCAAAGGCCAACCTAGAATATCATTCTTTTTTGTTTTGTTTTGTTTTTGTTTTTCGAGACAGGTTTTCTCTGTGTAGCTTTGCACCTTTCCTGGATCTCACTCTGTAGACCAGGCTGGCTCAAACTCACAGGGATCCTCCTGGCTCTGCCTCCCAAGTGTTGGTGGGATTAAAGGCATGCGTCACCACCGTCCGGCTTAGAATATCATTAAGAAAGCTGTCCACCTCTTTTGAAAAAGGTCTCTTGTTGGCCTGGAGCTCACAAATTAGGTTAATTGGCTTGCAGAAGGACATCGCCCTGTGTCTTCCCAGCACTGGTGGTATCATATAAGCGCTGAGCATTTACACCAGGCATTTTTATCACATGAATTCTGGAAACTGAATTCAGGTCTTCTGGTTTGCTAGGCAAGCATTTTACCAACTGAGGCGTCTTCCCAGACTCCCTCCCTTCCCCCAGGACAGGGTCTGATTACATTATCTTGGCTGGCCTGGAATTCACAATGTTGACCATGTTATTTTCAAATTTATAGCAATCCTCCTGCCTCAGAGCCCCTCAAGTTTCTGGATTATAGGTTTATACTACCACACCTGGCACAACATAACTCCGTGATTGGATGGGTAAGAATGACCAAGAGGCATGTGTGTGAGAGACTGTGTGTATGTGTCTGTGTGTACAGTGGCTGAGGAAGATGCCCGCGCAGTCTTCCTCTAGGATCTTTTCACGCCTTATTTTTTGAGACAGTGTTTCTCACTGAACCAGAAGCTCACTAAGCCAGTGAGACCCCAGGATTGTGTCTGTCAGTACTCAAAATGCCACAGTTAGAGGCACCCACAAGCTACTTCCAGCTTTTCCATGGGTGCTGGGCTTGGAACTCAAGGCCTCATGCTGTAGAGCAAGCCTTCTAATTCACAATCCCTAAGCAACTACACTGGAATAAATAACTTTAAGGAAACGGTTAAACCAGGACAAGGTACAAGATAAGTTTTTCATATTAAGATACCTTGGACTGGAGAGGATGGCTCAGTGGTTAAGAGCACTGGCTGCTTTTTCAAAGGACTCAAGTTTGACTCCTAGCACCCATTCAAAGGATCACAATCATCTGTAACTCTACTTCCTGGGGATCCGATGTCCTCTTCTAGCCTCTGAAGACACCAGGTATGCATATAATGCACAGATAGATGTGCATGTGGGCAAAACATCCATACACATAAATGAATAAAAAAATTTTTAAAAGATTTGTCTTGACCTCACATAACTTGGTTTTCTTAACGTGCCCCCTCCCCCACCCTCACCTCCACCCCCCAAAAAGATAGCTACGCCGCCGTTAAGAGCGCGTGCTACGCTTTCGGTGGACCTGACTTTGGTTCCTAGCATCCATGTTGGGTGGTTCACAACTGAGTGTGACTCCAGCTCCAGGGGATCCAACATTGCCTTCTGGTCTCTCTGGGCACCTGAACACACTGCCATACACACACACAAATAGTACTAAGGGGCTGGCGAGATGGCTCAGCGATTAAGAGCACTTACTGCTCTGGCAGAGGGCCAGGGTTCGCGGTTGGCAGCACACACGTGGCAGCTCACAACCACCTGTAACTCCAGTCCCAGGGGATCTGGATGCCCTCTTCTGACCTTTAAAAGCCCTAAGCATGGACATGGCGCACAGACATGCATGCAGGAAAAACAGTAATATGCATGACATACAACAAATCTCTAAAAATAAAACTTTAAAAAAAGTTCTTAAAAGTGGGCAACGAGGAGCCACTGCAAAGAGACAAAATACATTATCACATGAACTTTCTAACAAGCCGATCCCTTGTGAGCCCAGAGGCAGACAGCTCCGTCTCGGACGAGGAGGGAGCTGGCACTTCCCCGAAAACAACCTCCAACCTGTCCGGGTCGGCTTCCAGGACGCTTCGGAGCGACGGTGCGCTCAGCCTGCCAGCTTCACGCGCCACTTCCCGCGCTCCGAGGGGGCGGCGGCCCAGGAGAGCAGCTGTGCAGAACCGACCCACGCGCGTTCCAGGCCGGCTGTGGGCCTGGGTCCTGAGGACGGGGGCGCCGGACCCACGCGCCCCCCGCCCCCGGGGGACTCGAGGCCATGAGGCCAACGCCCTGAGGAACCTGGAGAGCCTCGAGTGAGGCGTGAAGCGTGGGAACCACCCTCCTCTCGCTCCAAGCCTTATCACTCACCCGACGGCACGTAGTCCTCATCCTCGTCCGACGTGGAGAAGTCTTCGGAATCGAATTCCTCCATGCTGCTGTCACTTGGGGCCTGCTACCCACACGACTGCGGCCACGGCCCCCAAAGAGCAAAGCTCTAGGGCGAGACCATAGAGGAGCTGGACCAGCAGCTGGGGCAGCCCTGAAAGCGTGCGCACATGCGCAGGCGGTGCCACGTGGTCAAATACGACATTTCCGGCTGGTGCGGTCGATCATCTTACACTCTCTTAACCCTTATGGGATTTCGGAGCCACCCGGAAGCGATGCATGCTGGGACTTGTAGTCTTCAGCGCTACCGTGCATCCTCGCTGGAGAACGGCCTGTCTGCGGAAATACAGTTGTCTCTCTTTATACGTGGCTTTTTTATTTTCAGATCGCTTCCTTGGTAACTGTTTCTTTGTAACTCTCAAATCAATGATTAAAATGTTACCCCCGGACTTGCGCAGCAAGTAAAAACTAAGAGTTGACACTGTGCTCAATTCCCAGCGACTTTTGAGCTGGGAAGAAGGCTGAAGCTCCGCCTTCTTGGTTCAACTTTACCGCTAGTATCGAGTCTTTTTAGCACAGTTTTAATGCCTTTCCCCCTGCATTTTGGGTTTTTCTGGATAATTTTGCAGTCTAAAATGGCTCCCAAGAATACTACTGAAACTCTAATATTCTAAGCGCAAGAAGACTGCGATGTGCCTTACTGAGAAAATCTCCCTGTTAAGTTGCTTTTCAGGCCTGAGTTACAAGTGGTTTTGGTAGCGAGTTCAATGTTAATGAATTAACAGTTGGATAATCAACTAAAGACGAAAGGAAATCCGCTTATCTGTGACTGAAGCCACTGCACGAAGTGCTAAATTGACACTTATAGTACATGGCGAAGCAATAGGAAAGATGGAAATCAATTAAATCTGTGGCTTTGTGGGCATTAGAGAGATGGCTCAAAGGTTAAGAGTACTTGCTGCTTTTGCAGAGGACCTGGGTTCGTTCTCAGTACCCACTACACGATGGTTCACAACCACCCTGGAGTTCTGACCTCAGTGGACACCAGGCATGCCCATGGTAGACACACATACACACACGCAGGTACATAGGCATGTACACGTAAAATAAAAATAAGTAAAAATCTGAAAAATTTGTGGATTCATGAGATGGCCTGTCAGAAAACCATAATGTGCCTGGCAGTGATGCAGGCTTTTTGTTGTTGTTTTTTGTTTTTGAGACCGGATTTCTCTGTGTTTGAACTTCCTTTGTAGACCAGGCCTTGAACTCACAGAGATCTGCCTGCCCCTGCCTCTTGAGTGTTGGGACTAAGGGCATGCGCCACTACCACCCAGGCAAAGGCAGGCAGATTTTGGAATTCGAGGCCAGGAGGCCAGAGTGAGTTCCAGGACAGCCAGGACTAAACAGAGAAACCCTGTTTAGGAAAAATAAATAAATAAAATTAAAAAAAAAAAACAAACAATAAAGATAAAAGAAAGAAAACCTTGACATGAAACTGAAAGCCAAATTTTCATGCCTCAAACACCACCTTTCTCCACCAGCCCCTTGGTCAAAGTATAATTAAAGCTTTCAAGGCACTCTATACAAGGGAGCTGTTTTTGTTGTTGTTTTTGTTTTTTGAGACAGGGTCTCACTATATAGCTTTGGCTGTCCTGGAACTCAGGTGCTCACACCCATTTCCACCCAATCACCAGTATCTATGGATTTGCCTGTTCTGGACATTTTATGTAAACAGACTAATACAGTGTGTGGTCTTTTGTGGTGTTTAGCATGGTGTTTTCAAATGTGGAGTTGTGCCCTCATATAATAGTGAGGGACTGCTAGACTGTCTTCCAAGGGGAGGTCCTGTCTATATCAGCAGCAGCAGCCTGAGAACCCATTTCTCTGTCTACATCCTTGCCAACACCCTCTGTTGTCTTTTTAAAGGCTATGAAATGGCATCTCGTTACAATCTTGATTCATATTTCCTTGATGACAAAAGATGTTAAATATTATGTCCTTATTGGTCACTGTATATGGTCTTTGGGGGGAAAATGCCTTTTCAGTCAGGTGTGGTGGTACATGCTTTTAACCCCAGCAGAGGCAGACGGATCTCTGTAAGTTGAAGGCCAGCCTGGTTTCCATAGTGAGTTTCAGGCCAGCCAGGGTTACACAGTGAAACCCTCTTTCTCACACACACACACACACACACACACACACACACACACACACACAGAGAGAGAGAGAGAGAGAGAGAGAGAGAGAGAG